CGCATATGAAAACCGGCCACGAGAGACCTTTTAGGACGAATCCTAAAAGATGATTTTTAGGATTGCGTGTAACGACGCCGCACGAAATCCTAAAAATCCTTTAGGACTCGTCCTATAAATTTTAGGATTCTTTTAGGAGTGTCTAACGAGACCCATACTTAGAAATGTAAAATCCCTAATTCACTGTGTCTTCTGTATAATTATTAACCAACTCTATCCAGCTATCTACCTATCCAATCACCCGGTCAACCTTCAATCTAATCAACCTAATCACAATCATAAAAATTAACTTAACAAATAAGAATAATGATCAACAAAAACAATATTCTTTTAAAATTTTCAACACATGTGCAATCACAATCTCCAAACGCTTTAGTTTTCTCAACTAAACTTCCTAATGGTATTTCCTTAATACCAAAAAACAAATGGCGAATTAATTAATTTTCTGCTTTGTTCAATCTACATTCTAATTTCTCCACATTTTTACCACTTTTTTTTTACTTATTTTCAACTTATTTTCAACTCCACGTAGCTTCTTCCCTAATAGCGACATTCCAAAATTTGACCTCCAAATCCAAAATTTGACCTTCAAATCCCTCAAGTACCGATTTCTCCATCTTTTGGTGGTGGTTTTGTGAAGGAGCAATGCTCATCCTCTCCTTTACCAGACGCAACAGTCTAAAGACAATATCCTCCTACCCAAAACCAGCCATAAGGCACCGCCACATCACTCTCGAAATCTGCAAAATGAGAACGAACTTCCTGCAAGAACATGGCCAGACGCACCCGCCACATTTTTGTCTTTTTCACATTTGGAGAGTGGTGTAGCCAGGCCCATAGTTGTCATCTTCTCACAACCAAGACTAACCCCGACCCCTCAGGTTATCATGGCAGCCCTCCCCAAGATTGCCACTAGATTCCTCCATCGACGAATCCCCATATCTCTCTACCAGGCCTCACACTCTTGCTAAAGACAGGTCACAGGGCTACGCCCCAGCACCGGCCCAGCCTCTGCTAAAAAGGACTGCCTGATCATGCAGACACTTATCATCAGGCCCAACTTGGGACAGTCCCACTCCCCCCCTATTTCCACAAATGCATCTAGTTCCCACCAAAAGTACGCCTCTACCTACCCTTTACCCTAGTCTCCCCCGCAGGAATATGATGCTCGGGAGTTTCCCCAGGAAGGTAGACTCTATTCTGGGGGATACTCCATCATATTCCTGTGGGTGATGCTCGGGAGTTTCCCCAGGAAGGTAGACTCTATTCTGGGGGATACTCCATCATATTCCTGCGGGGGAGACTTTCAGTTGGGTAAAGGGTAAAGGGTAGGTAGAGCCTTGCACACAAGTGCCTGACTCCCGAATGAGAGGCGAGCTCTTTCATAAATGGAAAGTGCTTGCCTCCCTCGCTGCCTGCCTTGGGACGCGCGTGTGCTTTTTTTTTTTTTTTTTTTTTTTTTTTTTTTTTTTTGGGGACAAATGCTCCAGTCTATTCATGAGGAGCAACACGTGCTGGGAACCGGGCCCAGCGTCCCATATAGAAATATACAAATGATTTGAAATACCAGGGCCATTACCTGGCTTCGGCTAGGAACAATCTGAGAACTTCGAAGAGATTCTAGAAAAATTAGGAAAGACATAGGTAACTGCTAACCTATTGCTAGGTTACTCAAGCAACACTTACCAAGTCAAAACGGCAAACCACAGAAGCACTTTGAATACTCCGAACCCCTGCAAAACTTTCCTCATAAGATAGGCTACAACATAAAAATTTTCCAAAATTAAATAATCATTCTATAGTAAAATTACATTCTAAACTCTAAATTTCATTTCATCTTAAAAAATGTCATTCCAATTTTAAAATTTTTCGTCTTACTTGAAAACTTTCATTCCAAGAATGGGGTATCCCTTCTTATTTGAATTGCATGCTAGAGATGGAATGAAAGTCTGGATGAGTTCATGAAATATTTTAATTGGACTGTCATTCTATTTAAGGATTTTCAGTCATAAATAGGTTAATCCAATCTAAATTATAAGGTATTTGTTATAGTAGAATGAAAGTTTAATTAAGACATTTCATAAACTCATAAAAACTTTCATTCCATCTTGAACAAATAGATGTAGTTGGAAGGGAAAGTTCATATTTAGACGGGAACTTATCAAATAAAACTGAAAATTTAAGAGTTGGACGAACATTGGAATGATAATTTATAAATATGAAGGATTTCTTTCGAATGAAATGTTTTTTCAACTTTCATTTCTCGTGGGAATTTTTCTGTTGTAAGATTCAAAAAAACATAACCACCACTATCCAACTCAAACCCTCACTGCAGGCAAGAAGTCGCCGCTCAGGTTTTGTTCATTCTAGTTTCAAATTGGGCCGAAGTGTCTGCGCCCAGGCCCGTTCAGATAGTGGCCTGGGCCCGCAGCAGTTAGGTGTGCGTCCAACCACCCAACGCCCAGTGAGGTGTTCCCTGCTTCCTGATAGGCCGAGAGGCGTGCTTCCACGTCAAGAAGAGAAGAGCCAAGAAGGCTCACTGAAGATTCTGACGCTCGCAAGCAGGTAACCAACTAGCGCATGGTAACTGTCTCGCGGCCCCTTACCATGCCTTACAGGCATGCCGAGGACTCAGATCCTTGCACCTCCCTCATCTTTTAGTGTTGTGCATCCGGGTTGGTTCGGTCTGGACTAAATGTTGCTGCTAAAGGTAGGAGTTTATCTCTTTTTTCTTTTCTTTTCTTTTTTTTAAGTCAAAAACTCTGTGGGTTCAACTATGTACTAGGAGTTTATCTCAAGAACTGCAGTATGTCAAAATAGAGAGCTGGGTGGAATCAGTTGTTGAGAGGGGTCTGCTAGCATGACAAGGATAGTGCAGGCGGCCGGCCATGGGCTGAAGAGGCAGGAGCCCTCTCACAAGTTTCATCCATTCTTTTTTTTTCCTTTTTTTTTCCTTTTATTTTATTTACAAAAACCCTTTTTGTAAGCCACTATCCCGACAGTGGTAAGGGAACCATCGGAATTGAGGTCTTGACTGTTGGGCTGCTCCATCTATTGGTGGGGAGCGACACCTGCTGGAAACCGGGTCCAGCGTCCCTTTAATACAACAATGCAGGTCAATGCTGAGGCTATAGTCATTGTTCTATTCTACTCTGAAGTTCCATCAATTCCATACATTCATGTGCTACAAGTTTTCTGTAAGGGACGCTGGACCCATTTTCCAGCAGGTGATGCTCCCCACCAATAGATTGGAGCCTGCCACGGGGTTTCTCAAGGTGTCTGCTCATAACAACACCTCCTGCAGACCTGTGGTCTGTTCAGAACAAGTAAAAAAAAAAGCTAAAAAGGAAAAAAGGTAATGTCAAGCACCTGGAAAAAAAAAAAAAAAAAAAACCCACCTATCTCTGATAGAACTGGATAAAGCAAAGCCCTCCGGATATTAGGGTGTGCTACTTAGCAAAAACCTGAGTAGAGAAAAAAAAAAAAGGAGTAAAATTCAATAAATCAATCTGGATCTTGTTGGCAGCCAGGAGGCTGCGCTTGTGTGGATTCCATTTTCATCGTTTCATGTTCTTTCTATTTTCGGTAAGGTCGTCCAGTACAGCTTCGCTAGGACGGGTTCCTTTGGGGTCTCCGATAGCAGAAAATAGGGTCCGGTTGCAGTCCTCTCTAAGATCGGTCGTAGGGCAGATCATCTCGTCAAGGTCGTTGCAACTTAGTATACGGCGTCGTCCATTGTTTCCCTTTTGAGGGATAAAGGGGCTCGTTCGACACTCCTTGGGGCGTCCTCGGGGCCGAAGGAAGTTTCCTTGGGGGTTTTCAAGGAAATTCCTGCCATCGTTCCACCTGTCCTCGGGGACGTCGCCCGAGGATATTTCCTTCGAACGATGTCGGACAAGAAAAAAAAAAAAAAAAAAAAAAATCAAATATGTGTTGAGGCCTTCAGCCAATAGGGTGCCGCCACGATCCAGATTCTCAGTTGTAACGTCTCTCTACCCATGTGCCCGCTCCTCTCCGTGAAACGCGGATTCCTTTTGCCCAAGGTCCCTTGGGCAAAAGGAAGAAATGGTCGGGGAATCCTCGGAGCACAAGGAATTTCCTTCGGGGTGTTTTCACTTTTTTTTTGCCGACTGCATCCCCGAGGATAGGTGGAACGAACAATTCCTCGGGGACTTTACGCGCCTGAGGAGTGTCGAACGAGCCCCATAGTTTTTTTCCGTTGAAAACTGGGGGCGGGCGATATGGGTTTGGGCTGGCGATTTGGGTCTGTTTTTTCCTTTTTTTTTTTCTCTTCTACTGCATCTCCCAGAAATACAGTATCTAACGAAAGAAATCTAGAACGGACTGCCCTGCCTCTTTTGCAAGGCTTACTAAGAAAAGAAAAGAAAAAAAAAAAACGTACTTACCTTTGCCACGAGAGCTGTGGAGATGGAGGGCCTTGCTCCACTCTGACCAAATGTGCAAAATGAGCATGAATCTTCTTGTAGAACATAGGTAGATACACTGCTAGTAGTTTAGAGCTTGAAATGCCATTTTTCCTGGCTGTGTGTGGGGTGGTACAACCCTCAGTATCTTTCTATTCGTTTTTCAGTTTTTTTTTTTTTTTTTTTTTTTCCCCCTCTTGCGATCCAAGAATTTCGGCTTCGTCCAGCGGCCTAGCTCAGTTGGTTAGGCACACAAGTGGCATTCAAGAGGTTGTGGGTTCAATCCCCGGCTATGGCACTCTTGATGCCAACCACCTGAGATAGTCAACTGACTTTTCCCAGTCTGTATCAGTAAGGTCTTCAGCCAACATGGGTGTGAGTGTGAGTGGGTTGCGTGTGGTGTGTGAGACAGTGTTGGCTGTAGACACAACCATCCAGAAGGCTGCCCATCCCCAACTTCATAAGACCTTTGCCAAACTTACTGTCTAGAACATAAATCATGCTACCCGAATGGCTGCGTCCCCTCGTCAAACGCGGTATAACAGTGATCAAGTGGGTTAACCTATGGGGGCCCTGGACGTGCGAAAGGCCGCCGGTTGTTGTCACCTTCGCCCCGCGATCTCGTGCCTTCGGCGGGAAGACGTCCGACAGGATCGATGGCTCATCAGCTTTCCCTCCGAAATTTCATCCCCCGACGATGGCGAACAGGAGCCGGACACGTGTCGGATGTGCGAGCCGACTGTCCCGCGAAGGTGGCCCATTGGGTGTGAGGTCTCAACTTGTTCTCCCCGCTTCTCGCTGTTGGCGGCCATCAACGCCACGTTGCCAAACAGACGGGAAAGGCGTTGGAATTGGGGGTATCTCACGCCACGTGCGCTTGCCATGTGTTCGAACAGAAGAGCGCAGATGCGTTCCTTCAACGACTATCTGGCAAACAATCGAGATAGTCAATGGACTCGTCGCTATCTCCCGGCAGGTGCGCCTGCGACGCGGACGAACGAGCGAGCGCAGACGCCTCAGCGCGCGAGCTCTCGAGAAAGAGAACGGAGATGATGACAACGACTACTCGGCGCGCACCGCTGCCACCGTCGTTGTGGATGATGTGGACCTCGCCGTCGAGGGGATCGATAACGGCGGCGATGGCGACGCTTCGGATAGGACGGGTGCTAAACGGGTGTCGATCCAATTAGCTGACGTGGTCAACCAACTGGATGATCTGCTGAGCAGAGGCAACGAAAAGGAGGCGCTGCAGCTCCTAAGGGACGCGCAAGGAGCTGAAGGAGGATGTCTTGGCTTCGGCGCAGCCACGCAGGTTGCGAATGGAGGCGGAGGAAAATCGCTGCTGATTGATACTCTGGGAAGATTGGTCAGCGAAAAGTACAGGAAAAGGGTAGCAGAGCATGAAGCAAGACATTTCCTCGTCTCCTACTTGCTGGGAGTGCTACCCAAAGATTACACCCTGTCCGATTGGGATGCGTACCGCAGGTACCAGGCACTAAATGTGCAGGCGGGAACCACATTTGTCGATTTCGAATTCCAAGAGGAGGTCGCGTCTGGACGCGTCTCGAGCCCGATGCTTGACCGCTATACTTGTATTGCGCTTGCTGGGGTTGCAGCTGAGTATCTGAAATTCAGCATTGCTGAAGGTGGAGTGTCTGACATACAACAGGTTTTTCATCAAAAACACCAGGGGATTCAAGATTGCCAGTTGTGGAGTACCATTATGTCATCTTCATTTGCATCATCTTTAGTAAACTTTCCACATTTATCTTCTGCGACATTCATCTTCTGTGTCACATATTCTGTTCGTCATTCACGTCGCCTGCATCCTTTTTTAGGGTAATCATCATCATCATTTCGCTTCCTCATCTTCTTCATGATGGTCATTCAGACTTCTTCGTCAAAATCGTAATCATTGCCATCCTCTGTTTTAGTTACAGCAATAGTGTGCTGACAATCTTCCTCACCGGTGCCATTAGGGTATCGCAAGTCAAACGTTCCTTAATTATTTCTCGCCAATTTTTCATCATCATCATCATCATCATCATCATCATCTACCAATCTGAATCTTTATCATGATTATCATCATCATCATGGTTCCTTTATTCATTTTTTCTTCAATCAGTAGTTATCTCTGAGTTGGTGGTTATATTGTTCTCGCCCAGATTGATTATGGTCTAGTTGCCAGGTAGGTCGGTCAGGAAGGGAGCGCTACTCCGCAGGGGTAACACAAGGTGGCAGGTGATTGCCCTCTAGGGAGTAGACGCAGATGATGGAAGCTGACCTAGGCTGAGGCTGAGAGATATGTATGGGGGCGCATTATCTCCTGGCGGAGGCAGACTAGGTCAGAGTGTTAGATTTGGGGTATACCTTTTGGTGGAACTGGTTACTTCAAGGTAGAAGGGAATGGGGAGATGATCTCTCTCGTTGGGGCTGATAGGAACTTCATACTGACGGGGTTTCAGATCAGCGGAGGCAGCGAGAGGAGAACAGGAGATGAAGAAACGAGGGGAGAGGAGAGTACATGGAGGAAGAGGAGGAGTGGAGAGGAATAACCATCAGCATCCTCATCATTAACCATCTCTTTTGTGATCATCTCAAGGTACTCATCCAATTTCATCATCAGAGAGGATTGTTATCAGGATTCTAATATTATTAGGTCCTCGATTTCTAGTTGACATTCTAAGCTTAGCTAATTTCATAATTGAGCTTTTTTTGTGTAATGGCCAGGTTGAGTTGGCGCCAGAACGACGCTGGCCGGCGTTGGGGCGATGCCCTGTAACCTGCTTGAGTAGGAGCTTGAGGCTTTGTTTAGAGGTTTGGGATTGCCGAGGGAGAAAGACGATCTGCAAACTTGACTAATGGCTACAATCTGGTCGACGATGGTCGGAGTAGGGTGGGTAACGCTGCCCTGTAACCGAGCCGGATTGGAGTATGAGACCAAGAAGAGGCCTGATTGGTGCACAGCATAGGCTCTGTTGTGTCTGGTTGGTTGGAATGGAAACACGAAATTAGGGATAGGATAGTATTTGAGTGCTGAGTAGACAATCACTTTGATTAGTCATCATCTGTCTCTATTTCATGACCTCAATCATCCATCTATCATCCTGAGTCATTAAAAAATCATTATCATCATCATCCTCATCAGATAAGTTAGCTGTTGAGGACTCAACTAAATCAAATCCTTTAGTTTTAGGTATTATTATCAATTTTGTTGATTGTCTGATTGAGTTGTGAAAGTGCACTTGCCGAGGTCGAGTTGATGCCAGAACGACGCTGACCGGTGCTGGAGCATTGCCCTAGAACCTAAACTTCTAGGAGCTTGAGGTCTGGGAGAGAGATCTGGGCATTGCTGAGGGAGGAAGGCAGTCCACTAATTTGACCGATGGTAACAATTCTGCCGACGATGGTCGGAGCTGGGGCGGGTAGCGCTGCCCTGTAACTCAGCTTAACAGAGGGTGTGAGACTTGGTAGAGGTGGGATTGATACACAGTACAACATCAGATGACAATTGCTGGAATTGGTAGAATACCTGGAATTAGGATTGGGTTTCATGTTGTAGTTCTAAGTAGAGAACATTCTGATTAGCCGTCCTGATCACTTTTTTTAATGGCTAGTACTTAGAGTGTGACTGGTTAGATCATGATTCCCATTAGCAGAAAATCATCAGTTTTAGCATCATCATCATCATCATCATCATCATCATCATCATCTATTTAACCGGGTGAACGCACTGAATGCGCGTTCACGTTCAAACGCGCGCGTTCATACCCCCCGGGGCCGCGTTCATTCGCGTTCAAACGCGCTGCGTGCCACGTGGCAC